CCTTTTCATTAAGAAACATAAGTCAAGCTGCTTATAAAATCACTGGCATACAGTAGGTTTCTCGCATAGGTTTTGAATTAGTGAGGTCTCAAACCACTGGCAAAACATTATAGATTTTGTTCGCAAAGCAAGGAAGCATTTCAAACCACACTATCAATTATTCTACACCAGTTTTACTAACCATTTCAGAAAACATAAATGATTTGCTGCGGATGTGTTGCTCTGTCTTCAAATAAATGCCCGGTGACTTTGAATACTGACTGCACAGGACATACATATGTGCACTGTGCAGTGTGTACAGTGCGATGACATGATTTCAAGTTGTGGTGTTTATGTGGGTGCTGGGGTTTCTTTTGCCAAGGGTAAACAGCGAGAGGTGCTGCTTATAGAACTGGGCTGCTTAATGATACGGTCAGGAGAGGGGCTTGCCCTCACTGTTCATGTCGTCTCTGACCTTTTTTCTGTTTGGAGGAGGTATTTGATTTCACCTCTTTTTTTCTCACTTTCACACATAACCCATTGAGGCCAGTAGGTGAGTGTAAAATAGTAGCTTTGTTTTGAGCTGATGGAGGTGAAGCAGCCAAGGCATCAAAGAATGGCATGCAACCAACAGGAAAGCCTGCTTATATAGCCAGTAAAATCAGTTTCATGCTAAATTATTGTATCCCCTGCCTGATCTTATCCTTTAAGTGTTTAGGACAACGTGTGAGTGCCATCTCTGTAGTGCAATACTTGTGTCTTCATATTTACATATGCAATTGAAAGATGCTTTTATAAGCAGTCTGATGTTGTTTTCAAAATGAAATATATTAAACTAGTTTAAATTATTGTTTTTTTTTATTTTTAACTGTACTACAGCAGCCAAAGGCAATTATTACAGTAAATAATATCTGAAAAGGAATTACTTGACAGTTGGCAGTGTATGATTAGGGTTTAGAATGGATAAATTTGAACAGAAATAATTCAGTTAAATTCAAATTTATGTGTAAAGTTCTTTTCACAAGAAATATGTTCATATTTTATGTTTTTATGTGTTTGTGTCATTAGTTATCAGATAATTTTTTGGTCTCCAATGCCTTTAATTCAGTCTAACACACGCTCCATCTGCAAACACGTGAGAAAAGGGAAGGTGAGCACAAACGACCTATGCATTTCATTTATTAACGTTATTTGTTAAATTTTCCTAATATGTCCACCAAAGTGAGTGTGGTTGAGCATATGGATGCATTAGCGTTGCCATTCGGTTTCCACCAGCTGTTTAAAAGCAACACTGCCCTCTACTGGACTCTTTGGCTTCATTTAGTTGTCATTGCAATTTTAATTTCAATTAGCCTTAAGCACAAAATTCTTATTGTTCTGCAGATGTGATAATTCATTATCAAAAGAAAACGTCCTGGTAAGCAGGATCCCCTGGGTGGTTTTGGAAATATTCCATCTGAATCCCACAAGCAATATTTCATAAACCAGTCGTGACTGCACTACTGAAATGTTAAAACCTACACATCATTTCATGAAAAGAAGGTATCTTGCAGACATGTACTGCAGTGTGTTTCTGAAATTTCATATTATAAAGCCAAAGAAAACAGTCAAAAACTGCTCTGCATTCACTCATGCCTGTTCCACAAAGGAGTGTAACGAAAGTGCTAATTTTTTCAAGTCTACATATACTTGACAAAACATTATGTTATTTTTTGCCCCTGTTTTCAACCTTTTAAATTTAGTCTAATCAAGTCTCAGATAACAAGGGAGCCCTTTATAAGGGGACACCGGGGGCATAGTCAAAGCAGGTCTGTGTGGAAAAAGCCGAATTTCGTCTTGCTTCAGGGAAGTTTGGCACAATATATAATGCTTTCTTCTTGATAATCAAAGAAAGCGCAAATGCAACAGAACTCTGTGTGTAGACCACAGGGAACCAGTGGGGTTAAGCTAAGCAGAAAGAAAATAAACCCCCATTTCAACAGACTGGCTGCCTATGGCCTCATAGACCCACTATGGCACCTCAGATGTGTAGCTGAGCTGCTCGTTCTGTTCCAAAATATATTCATTGTGGGTGCTGATGATATTTTTGCGTACCTTTTGATGCATTTGCAGTCACAAGTGCATTTCCAAAAATGTACAACAAGAAAACATATTGATTTAAGCCTCATTTTCTCCCCCTTTCTATGTCTCTCAAGCATAGAGATGCAGTGTCTCATTTGTGCAAGTTCACTTAGTTCATTATATCACATTAGGTAAAGCAATTCTAGGCCAGCCATTGAAGATATATGAAAAATCTTGAGGTTTGCATACACAAACAGTCCATTAAATACAGCCAAAATAATCACATGACTTGTGATTATTTACTCGCAACCTGATTTTTGCATTTGTGGATGGCAATGCATCAGTGTGCCTATTGAACCCCTGGGGGAAACATGTCTGGCAGGAGGCCTTCAGTGATGATAGACATGTTTTCCTGCCTGTAACCACCTGAACTAATGCCAGTTTCAGCAGTTGTGACCTCAGCACACTTCCTCTGAATGTCCTATTTAAATGTGGCATAACCCGTAAAGGTCTCACATAATTCATACTGCTTTGTTTAATAGTAAAGCCTTATTGTCTTTTATTTTTTTTTATTTTTTTTTAGATGATGTTGAATCAAATGACAATAGTTGTGGAACACACTAACAACTCTCAGTCCTATTATTTGAATTGTGCTTCAGCTCTTCAACTTACTGCAAGAGCTTACAGCAACAATGTCAATCCACTCGAAGAGCACCGATCGACCAAACAGGCTATTTGAGTACCAAAATATCTTCTAAAGTAGGCAGTTGATTATGTTAAACAATTAGTGAGTTCTGAATTTTATAGGCAAATCAGATTTTTGATTTGCCGTGTATTTTCACAAGCACTAGTATCCTTTCAGATTTTTCATTAACATTTCTCTTTAACATTAGTATTTTCATAATTTCACAGGCTCCAAAAGATGTAAAGGAATCTAATATTTTAGTGCCTCAAAGTGGAGACAAAGCTCTTTTCCTCCGATGTTAATGTCCTATGCTAACAGATTGAGCTATAAAGAAGACTCGGGGCAGCTCTCTCCGTTGAAGAACGAAATAAAGCCTTGTGTGCCGACAATCAGCCCGGGAAGACTTCTGCAGTGAATGAGAACAGCCTGTTGGTTGAGTCATCACACGTACCCTCACACTGGGCTCCATCGCCCCCAATCAAATTCATTGTCCTGCTGCTCACCAGCCCTCTGCGTGCACCTGTTTAAACATCTCTGCTAAAGGATGGCCCGTCATGACTGCTTAATATGACCTCCAACCCTCGCGAGCACATCAATCACTCTTGCTCATGTTTTCCATCTGGCCTCGCCGCCAATCGAGGCAAGAAAACATGTCAGATGACATTGAGTCTCAAGGCAGTTTATGCTATCAGGGGAAAGTAATGCGAGCTGTCATGGAGGGTTTTGTCACGTCACTGTTCAAAACCACTGGAGAGATTTGTTTGACATACAGACAACATAATGTAGGTTTAGTACTCATGCCCAAACTGTGTTTGTTTGATTACATCACTTTATTCAAATAGTGGAACTTAAACTTCACCAAACAGATGATAAAAATACGGAAGTATTTGTATTAATTTGTATTATGCATATGAAAATAGTAGAAGGATTTGCAATATCTTGTCAAATGGCAATATGCCAGGGATTAATTACATAAATAATAATACAAAATTAAAATGTTATTAAAGCTAATAAAGCTTATTGTTCTAAGTAAAAGTAATTTGCTGTAAAATGCATTACAGTAAAAGCAGACTACATTGTGTTGTCTGTGAGAGAGGTGCTTGTTTAACTCTTGTTGCTGAAGGTAATTATCCCTCTGCAGAGTATCTGTCTCCTCGTTGTAGCTTTCAGTACACCTGACCACAACAGCCCACAGCTCTGTCAGTTAAACGGGGCAGAAAAACAACACAGAGAAAGAGTATGACATCAATTAGCCTGGCCTTGGCATGCATAGGCGCCCTTTTTAAAATATTACTGACACTAATTAGACCACACTTTAACTAAAAGTCTGATGTACAAAAGTGCAGGAGGCTTTGCTTTTTTCTTGTGAGCAGCCTGGTTTTCTTTTCCAAGGTCTCTTCAAAGAAGTATGAATAAATTGAGGATATGTAAAAAAAAAAAAAAATCCTCAAAAATTATCTTGGGAACAGGTTCAATCTATATTGACTTTAGGTTAATAAAATAAAATTAGGTTTAAAATTTGTGCATACAAACATAAATACATATACATTCATGACAGTAGTTGCACTTACCACACTTTAACTAAAAGTCTGATGTACAAAAGTGCAGGAGGCTTTGCTTTTTTCTTGTGAGCAGCCTGGTTTTCTTTTCCAAGGTCTCTTCAAAGAAGTATGAATAAATTGAGGATATGTAAAAAAAAAAAAAATCCTCAAAAATTATCTTGGGAACAGGTTCAATCTATATTAACTTTAGGTTAATAAAATAAAATTAGGTTTAAAATTTGTGCATACAAACATAAATACCTATACATTCATGACAGTAGTTGCACTTCTACAGCATCGCACACCAAAACATTACAAAAAATGTAAACAGAGAAACTAACAGAAATGAAAAAGAAATGAATAAAAGACAGCTATTATGATTATAATAGTGTCACACAAGTAATGTATATCATTACAGTCTATTTGATTAAATATGTAAAACCAATCAACTTAAATATTTAAAATAAAGACACTTCATAACAAGAGTTACTTGTCACAGGAACTAATGGTTGGTATTTAAGTGCTATTTATCCTTTTCTGCCAGACTTAATAAGTAAAACAATAATGAAACACTCAAGCGCAAGGTGACATTACAAAAATATGATTGTGTTGGCCAACAGGAATTGGAATTATTAAAGTACCTATATAAAATTACAAATGAACATGACCAAATATAAAACACGTGACCTGACATATATATAAAATAAATTAAATAACAGCCTTGACATGCGGTTTCTTGTGCTCAAGCAGATAGTCAGTGGTGCTCCGACGAGCATCAAAGATCTCCTCCCCTCCTTCACATTCACTCCCATGATGCAACAGCAAACAAAGAGGGCAGAGAAACGAGACAGTACCGGAAAAACGGCAGCTAGCTAGAGAAAAGTTTCAAACGCCGAAAATAGGCACAATTCAAAACGTCCACAGCGTACGGTGTCACTTTATCGCGAAACGCGGTCATAAAGAGCCCATTATTCCTCGTCTCTGTGAAAATTGAGTTAGTTTCTGCGCTGTTTTTTGTAAGTGCAGGTAACTTATCAGTTAGCCGTGAAGTAATAATGTCTCCTAATGCTCACATAGCTCTCCGGACACTGATATGACAACTGCTGATAGTTGACAGTGTATTCAAGGCACGGCAGGTAAAGTATAGTTAATATTTGTTTGTAAATATTGATGGCTAGAGTTGTAGCATTAGACAGAAGTGATGTTTAATATACAGGGCCTGTTCAGGTTAGCCTGAGTGCTAACTGCTCTTAAAGCGTTAGCACACTCATATTTATGAATTCAAGCAGTGTTTTGAACTTTATGACTCGTTTTAGATTCATATTGTATATCTGTTATCGTCTAGTGAATTCATAATGTATACTAGACATGCCTGACAACAATCAGACATAAATATTTAACCTACTGTAATACAATTTTGCCATTATTTTGAAATACACAGCACATGTGAATGTCAGCCTTGATAACCCTATACATTTTCATAGAAAAGTGGTGTTTGGTACCATGTGTTTATGTTAAACTTATCCAATATGGTTTTTAACTATATTGGTAAGTCGGGACTTTATTGAATAAATAGCCTTTAAAATCAACTTAAATTTAAATCTCTAAAAACCCTGGTTATTTTATTGGTTCATGTTGCTTGTCTTATACTGTGTGATTCATTTGTGAATGTTAATACCAAAAAAAATTTAAAGGGGTCATATGATGTTGCTAAAAATAACATTATTTTGTGTATTTGGTGTAATGAAATGTCTTTATGCGGTTTAAGGTTCAAAAAACACATTATTTTCCACATACTGTACATTATTGTTTCTCCTCTATGCCCTGCCTTTCTGAAACGCGTACATTTTTACAAAGCTCGGTCTGAAAAGCAAGGTGTGCTCTGATTGGCCAGCTATCCAGTGCATTGTGATTGGCCGAATACCTCAAGCGTGTGACGGAAATGTTACGCCCCCTACCATACTGTGATACCCTGTCAGGCCAGAGCGATGATTCACAAACATGAAAACTCATTATAAATGAGGCATTTGTTGCATCCAGTGGGGACATAATTATGGATTATAATGACTTATACTGTCTTTTTACGCGTTGCGTTGCGTTGCATCGCACCACGCCACATAAACATAAAACCATCTCTGCATTTGTGATCGGAGAAATGACAAACAACAAGCCCTACTCTACACTTCCCAAAAAACTTGCTTTAAATATAAAAAATATAAAATGTAAAAACTCTTTAAATATAAAAAACGTACTTGCAGTCTGTGAGTCAGAACAGCTGGCATTGTAGTCTACTCTACCAGGATCAGGAAATGGTCCTCCATAAAATGCGCTGCACACATCTGAATATTTGGGTTGAAGTGTTCTGGAACAGTGTTGTAAATACAACTTAACCACTGATTTCTAGTCGTGTCCATTTTTGGAAGGCCAAAAAAAGTAGTTTCGCTTTCACAACGAAACACAGCGTCACACACGGTGGCCTAGAGTGAGCAGAGGCTGGGGGCTAGAGTGATCAGAGGCGGCGGGCTTGAGAACGGCGCGGCCGGCGGATTCGTCAAAGGAGCGTCTGGAGGGCTTGCGGCAACCACGTGTGACAACCCCGGGCTGGACTCCGCTTCGTCCACGGTGAAAGCCGATCCGGTGATCCACAGCGCGAAGTTGTTGTATTTCCTCAGCAACCAGCACGGATCAGCTCCAGGCATGACGAAGCGGATATCGTCCTCTTTTGGAAGACCAAACAAAGTAGTTTTGCTTTCACAACAAAACACACAGTGCCTTCACGACATGGCGGCGGCAACAACAATACTACAGCGAGAATAAAAGTTACGTCTTCTTTCTTTGCGTGAACATTTGGGCGGCGTTATGCAAATCTTCCCACATAGTGAGGTAGATATATGGGGGCGTGTTAGAACAAGCTGTTTTAGGTAGCCGTGGTTGACTCTTAACTTTTATAAAGAATATCTCTTTGGATTTGAGACTTTAGTCTTTGCAACTTTACAGATCTTCTTTATGCACCAAGAGCTTGTAACACTCCAAAGAGAAAGGAAAAATTGAAATCGCATCATATGACCCCTTTAATGTTTATTATCTTCATGTCTTTGACATGTCCTGAGGTGTTGCATGCTACAGTATTTCCATTTCAAATTTCATCTGTAATTATTATGCACACCGATTTTATTAGAAAAAGACTGATAATTGGTTTGACCAGTATTTTTTGCTAATATTTACATGTTTTAACTTTTCTTTATTATTGAGTCTACCAATTTAGTCTAAAAATAGCACCCAACAACAGTATTCATAAGTTGAAGTAACTTATTTGATGCATTGTTTGATGACTGCTCAACTATTTCAATAACAATTATTCATTTTGAAGTGATAATACACATATTATTCAGAAGTTAGGGGTTGATAAGTTTCTTTTAACTCTCATATGAACTCACTTTAAAATATAGTAAAACAGCAATATTGTGAAATAGTATTACAAGTTAAAACAAATAATGAAAAAAAAACATGTTATATATATATATATATATATATATATATATATAATATTTTTTTTTCAAATGTAATTTATTCCTGTGATGGCAAATCTTAATTTTCAGCAGCTGTTACTCCAGTCTTCATTGTTATATTGTCCTTCAGAAAATATTCTGATATGCTGATTTGGTGGTCAAGAAACATTTCTTCTTATAATCGATGTTGAAAACAGTTGTGCTCTTCTTAATATTTTTGTGTAAACTGTGATAGTTTTTCCCTGGGATTCTTTGTTGAATAGAAAGTTCAAAAGAATAGCATTTATTTGAAATCGAAATATTTTGTAACATTAATAATGTCTTTACTGTCACTTTAGATCGATTGAATGCTTCCTTACTATTCATTTAAAAAAAAAAATCTTACTGTCCCCAAACTTTTTGAATAGTAGTGTTTGTAACTTAACAATCGGCTATAACCCAAAACAAGGACAAATACATTGGACCATTAAAGGGCGAGCGACGGTCAGGCTAGTTTGTTTGGTATGTTCTAAGGTTGTGCTGATAGACGATAGTATTGTGTATCGACGATAGTCAGAGATATCGACGATAGCAGATGTCTTTGTCGATAGTCAAGACGATATTAGGCTCATTCTCATATGAATGTATTAATAACAATAGTTATTATTATTATTGCTATTATTAGGCGGCCCATTATAATTTGGCTATTATTATCAAATTGCCCAGCTTTTTCATTCAGCACTGTATTTCACACACACGAGCCTGTAGCCAGTGAAGGAGTCTCCAACCACAAACACGGATACATATGCAATATTTTAACCGAGCCCTCACTAACTGAGTTTAATGCCACAGTTATGTTAGAACGCATCTCATTCTTGTTTCTGTGGCGGTGCGTCGGGCTCGTCATGGGGTGCGTGGTCCGGAGCGCTGTATGACTGATGTATCGGTTTAATTAAAATTTACTCCAAATATATGAACTTAACTGTTTTAAATGCTTTATATTTAACATGTTCGTTTATGTCCAATATTTAGTGTTAAACTGATGGTCTTTAAAATAAAATTACTTTTGATTTTCACCGTTGACTGATTTTGCAGACCAGACTGATAATTTCCGTGCTCTGATGCGACAAACTTGTCACAGGACGCGCGGTCCTAATAGCGATGTATGACTGTTGTATCCGAATATTTATTAACTCGCTGTTAGGGCTAGACGATATGGCCAAAATTTATATCACGGTATATTTCTTAATTTCGGTCGATACGATATAATTCCGATATCGGTATGAACACTATTAAAAAAGCCTCATAAAAACGGCCAAGAACGGCCACAACAGATGTTTGTACCTACAAACTTATGAAAAATTTATTTGCCAACTCTATGAAACCTACTACTATAAAACTATATAATATTTTAGGAAAAAAATGGTGCAAATAAATAAATGTTCACCTTTTATTGGTATTTAGCCTTCATACAAACAAAAAATGTGAAATCACTGTCAAATAAATCTCAGACTCTCCTTATTAATATTAATATTTATTACTTCAAACTATAGGCTAACATACCAGTCAAAAGTTTTTGAACAGTAAGATTTTTTATGTTTTTAAAAATAAAGAATTCTATTCTCTTAAAAAAGAATTCTCTTCTGCTCACCAAGCCTGCATTTATTTGATCCAAAATACAGCAAAAATGGTAACATTTTGAAATATTTTTATTTAAAAAATAATTGAAATAGTTTTCCTAAAACCCCCGCGACGCGTTTTGATTTTGAAACGTGCAGTGCTCATGTTTATTCAACGAAAGTCAAACGCCACAAATAAATCAATGTATGGGAAACTGGTAATGTATATCGAAATATCGGAAATGTGTTTAAAAATCATATCACCGTTATTGAAAAAAATTGTATCGTGATACATATTGATATTGAATTATTGTCCAGCCCTACTCGCTGTTTTAAATATTTTGGTATTTAACATGTTAGTTTATCAGTATGTTTGAAAGTATATTATTTAGATTCGTGGTGCTTCCATAGGCACCCTCTCTCTCACGCGCGCGCAGTTTAAAACACAAAATAGTTATGAAATAGCCTATGACAAGTACAGAGAGTCTCTCTCTTGCCCCCACCAACCCATGCACGATAATATCATCTATCGGCGATCTCACGGACTGGTGATTTGAAAAATGACTATATCGCCCAACACTAGTGTGTTCCACTCGTCGGGCTCACGTCGGCGGCAGTTTGCCGATTCAACATGTTGAATCGGCATCGGGACCGTCGGCGCGAGTGAGAGCTCTGATTGGATGTTCAGTTTAGCGAACGAGTCAGTGCCCGAGAATTAAAGCAAAAGTAATGAAAACAAGCACGTAAATGAAGGCGGTACAGACAGAAGGCTGTTTCAATGTTACGTGATAATGTTTTCATAACAACATGAGCCGCTTAAAATGATTAAGGTTATCAACGTTACTGATATTCAAAATGGTAAGCAAGCGCTGCTTTGTTTACGTTTCATATATCTGCGTTTATTTCGTATATTTTTGTTTCGGTTTCTCCTTTTGAATGACGAATATATACTATTGATAGCAGCTGATATAGACAGTTAATTCTTCTCACGCATGCGCAGAACACACGTGTTCGTTTGCCTTCGGCTGTAGTCTGTGCTGTGTGTTCGAGCACAGCTTTTTGGTCCGACGCTGCCGACGTGAGACGACAACACCGTCGGCTTTTGTCGTCGATAGTTCTTTGAAGTCGGCTTGGTGTGTGTCCCGCCTTTAGATATAATATCATTTAATTATTACCATGTCAAGAATTGGACTTAAAATTGTGATATTTTTCAATCTCTAGCTTTTATGACATATATTGAGAACCTTCACAGAATATTTGTTCTTTTTTTTTACTTTGTCACACCACTCGTGTTGAGGTAGTCAAAATGAAAAAGTGTATAAAATGGTGAAAACCTTAAAAATCTCACAGAATTTTCTCTCAAATTGCGAAAGTTGCGATTGTCATTTGATCCTGAATGTAATGAATATATATATATCATTTTTATTCTATTAATGTCTTATTCTGTTTTGTAGGTATGGCAGTTGTGGGCCGTATGTGATCAGCTATGTGTAAGTGTTCACAATCATCTCCCTCATTCCAAGAACATCACATGTAATCCCCCTCCAAATCATTAAGGGGGATCTTTCAGAATGAAGAAGATCAGTCTGAAAACAATAAGAAAGTCATTTAACATTAAAGGCAAAGAAGAGAATGAATTTGCTGTATCACAGCCAGACTTGGCGGCCAGTTTCTCTGCTGAAGACTCACTGTTTGGAGGATGCTACAGCAAAGATCTCGTCAGTAGCGACCTGGATAATGAGGACGAAAAAAGATCCAAAGTCCGATCTAAGAGTGAGGGTCTCATGGGCACCTTGAAAAGGAGACTATCAGCGAAACAGAAAACAAAGGTCAAGGGTGGTTCTCCATCTGTATGCTCTATAGATGATGACACCTTCTCCTCCTCTTCGGCACCCATTACTCTAAGTGACATAAAATCCCAGCATTCCTCTCGCTCCACATCCGTCCATAGTCATCATTACAGTCCCACCCCGTGGCCTCTCAGACCAGTGAACTCGGAGGAGATGTGCATCCAAATGGACGTTAAGGCATTAATGAACTCCTCAGATCCAAGTCCGGCTCACAACGGTGTGCACCAAGACTTCCTTGACCTCCAGAGAGAGTTCAAAGAATCTAGCGATTCATTGAAAATCACCAGACGTGTGCCAGACCACCATTCTGGCGCTCAGAATGACGATTTGCACCTTGAAATGGATGAACACATGCCTGTAGTCATTGGTCTTGCAGCTCAGGATTATATTCAGTACACAATGCCTTTGGATGATGGACTCTTTCCTGATGATGAAGGTTCACGCTCTTTTTGCTTAGATGGCACCACACCCATGGACGTCGTTCCGCAGTCAGAGGGATGCAGATCTCTTCATGCAGATGAGGAGCCTATTGACCAGGACCTTCTGTCACCAGACATCTTCATGGAGTCGTCATCGGTGAACCAGCTCTTTTTAAACACTGCAAATGTCTTGCTGCAGGGCTCCAGACTCGAAGCCCCACTTTCCCCCTTGCTACCTCCGTTGCCCGATAGCTATCTCCAGAGAAGCTTCTCTGGGTTTGGTGGTACACATGCTCAGGTTGCAGAGAGAGTCAGGCACCATCTCAACTTTGACCCCAACTCGGCTCCAGGGGTGCAGCGGGTCTATGATGCCGTGCAGAACAGTGGACCCATGGTGGTTACTAGTCTCACGGCTGAACTGAAGAAACTAGCCAAGCAGGGTTGGTATTGGGGTCCCATTACAAGATGGGAGGCTGAAGAAAAGCTGACGAGTCTTCCAGACAGTTCTTTTTTAGTCCGCGACAGCTCCGATGATCGATATCTTCTAAGCTTGAGCTTTCGCTCACAGGGTAAGACTCTGCACACGCGAATCGAGCATTCGAATGGCAGTTTCAGCTTCTACGAGCAACCTGACATCGAAGGCCACGTATCAATCGTGGATCTCATTGATAATTCGATCAAGGATTCGGAGAACGGAGCATTCTGCTATTCCAGATCTCGCTTACCGGGGTCCGTCACCTACCCCGTTAGACTGACCAATCCCGTTTCAAGGTTTATGCAAGTGCGCTCACTGCAGTACTTGTGCCGCTTTGTTATCCGCCAGTACACACGGATTGATCTGATCCAGAAATTGCCTTTACCGAACAAAATGAAAGATTACCTGCAGGAGAAGCACTACTGAAAGCAGTAAATCCCCACTTGGTTGCTACTTGCACTTTTTGGATGACACAACAAAACCGATTTCGCAGACATTTTCAAGAATTTTGTTACCATTCGATTTTGCATTTTCTTGAAAGGAATGATGATGTTTGTCTGTCTGGTAGAGTAGATAATTCAGTGGTTTGTGAAGAGACACAGTGCCAGAATGTCGTTAGAGTGGATCTCAATGTTGGAGCATTTTTCGCATGTTCTCTTAGAAATGTAGCATTTCCTTTTTGTTACAGTCAAAGACAGTCCAATATTTTTCTTCATACCCCACACTATGAAATATCAGCACATAGCTCTGAGCTCCAGCTTATTTTAGGGCATTTAGAGGTTCTTGGCAACAATGCACAGAGGTATAGACGCCTTAATAGCGGCCGCACGTTTGTGAATGCATAGATTACATTCCTCCTCGCCCCTTTTTTTAAACGCATAAATTTTATCGTACCAGCCATTATGTCATCATCTTAATTCAAAGGGAAAATATACTATACAATATGCCAAATGATGTCCTCTCACCATACACATGAATCTTACCCTTCTGTGGAGTTAATCTAATAAGCTATATTAGCTGCTCATATTTGTCAGATCATATTCTCACCCCCTTTTTTGTTTGCGCTCTTTAGCACGTAATGCCAAGTTTAGGTGCCTCACTGAAACTCGTCTTTGCTGTAGTCAATTGATTTTGGACTGTATGATTTGTTATAACAGTCATCTTTAACAGGCATGCAGTTACATTATAAATGCATCTGGTCTTTTCCCCCTTGCACTGTTTAAGTGTTCATTAGTATTGTATATCATTGTTTAAAAACGGAAAGGTTTCCTGTTATGAACTATGTCAATGGTACAGTTTAAAATCATCTCTTTTTGGGAACAGAATTTGCTTAATGATATGTTGTAACTTGAACTTGTTCTTCAGTTCAAAATAAAAGTTTTATATGATTAATCTCTCTGTTCATTCTAATGTAAAACGTATTCGATCTGTAATTTAAAATTCCATTTCTGGTAGTAAAAACCTTTTAACAGACAAAGAGCAGAGATAATGCTGGAATTAAATCATTTTTGTTTTATTTTTATTACAGATTTTACAACTATGAACAGATTTTCTTTCTCCTACCACTTAGCCATTGTTGTTTTATTTTTATATGCTTAATATTGTATTTGATCTTTTACCTGGAGAATTGCACTCTTTCATTAATGAGTTGCAAAGCAGCAAACAAACGACAGGCAAATTTGTTTTCACTTTTGTGCCATTGTTGAGCTTAAGTTTCTTGCCTTGCGTATAATTCTTATGTTTTCAGGAAGTTGCTAAATGATTAAATTTTAAAAAACTAAAATATATATTCTGTATTCTGTTTAAGTAACTATATAAAGTATATTATATGTTTTTAAGTAGTAGCTAAATTACATTTTAGAATGACTAAATTTAAACTAGCAATATTTTCTATAATATGTACCTCATCTATCATTGTTTTTCAGACTTTTTTTATTGTTTCAGTGCTCCGTATCCGTACGATGTGACATTGCTATCTTTAGTGATCCACCTGAAGATTGTGATTTGGCTTATTTTGTGTACGATCGTGCTCTTTTGCACTTATGTAGTGGGTGATTGATTATCAGTTGTGCTCAATTGTGACCCTCCCTGTTTTTCAGCTGAGAACTTTCTTGATGGCAGGCTCGGCACAGCAGTGCTGCTATTTTAATGTTTCTGTGCTTAATGGTTTTGGAAAAAACAATACAAGTGGGCAGAGTGTAGGCTTTAATATTGGTTGCCAAAGAGGCTTTGTGCTGTTTTCTCCATTCAGCACACATGCACATTTTTAAGACTTTCTTAATTAGCAAATGGCTGCAATATAACAAAGAGTGAAAAATTTAAGGAGGTCTGAATACTTTCCGTACCCACTGTATATATATCTATATCTCTATATATATCTATATATCATTACCAAGCAATTTGAGCCAGGATGATTATATATATATATTTTGAGTTTTCATTTGTAACTGCGGAGTAAGTGAAACTGCTCCCTTAGCCTACAACAACTTTCTGGCTGAATTCAAATGCTTTTTGCAAACACATCGTCACATTCCATCAAAAAGACATGCTGAGCACTCTTATATCAGACATAAATTGCTTAAGCAGTTCTGTAAGACTCCAGGGACAAATACATTTTTAGTACTGTGCTGTGGGACAATCAAAGTGTCTCTCGCTCACACATGGTGTTTTGTGGAAAAGGAACATTTTGCTAATGCCCAATTTTCTTATGTTATTAAAACGTTTGAATCTTTTAGCTTGGTAATGCAATGATTGTACTTGGTATGTTTTGTTAGTACATCTCTTTGCCATTTAAAATCATTAATAGATTTTAGGCCAACAGCTGCTGTGGTAGAGGTGAGTGTTTGTCATGGGATGTAACATTTACACTATCTGGACTTGAGAAAGCATCAAGATCTTCAGACAACTACCCCACGTATCAGTGCTATCTTAACCAGCATCCATTTTGCTTGCATTGTGCTTTAACCCACCCAACTGACTTCCATTGTCAGTAAGCATTCAGAAAGATGCAGAAGTATTTTTATTTCATTTCATCATATGTTGGATATTATGTTGTCAATGCATGATTTGTCAATATATCAGCCTATATCGCTGTGACCCTTCTAGTAATCCATTCTGTTAAGGCTCTGGGGGATGCTTTATTACAGGTGGTGAAGGATTTCTGGCTCTGTTTATTACTCCCTCCCTTCTGTTTTAATTGGTTTCTTTGGAATTTCACATCAGACTCCACTGAGAGCTTTCTACACTCCACTTACCAGTGCGAATGCCTTCTATGTTTTAATCAAAATGACCTCTATGGATCTGTTTGTCTATAGTATCTGAGGTAATTGAGGAGTTTTAACAGAACATAGATTTCGTACATTCACTTGAATTCAGGTCAGGTAATCAGAATCAAATGCAACTACTACATTTAAATGGACAAATGAAATACACTGAACAAAATTATAAATGCAACACTTTGGTTTTTGCCCCCATTTTTCATGAGCTGAACTCAAAGATCTAAGACTTTTTCTATGTACACAAAAGGCCTATTTCTCTCAAATATTGTTCACAAATCTGTGTTAGTGAGCACTTCTCCTTTGCCGAGATAATCCATCCACCTCACAGGTGTGGCATATCAAGATGCTGATTAGACAGCATGATTATTGTACCGGTGTGCCTTAGGCTGGCCACAATAAAAGGCCACTCTAAAATGTGCAGTTTTACTGTATTGGGGGGTCCGAAAACCAGTCAGTATCTGGTGTGACCACCATTTGCCTCACACAGTGCAACACATCTCCTTCGCATAGAGTTGATCAGGTTGTTGATTGTGGCCTGTGGAATGTTGGTCCACTCCTCTTCAATGGCTGTGCGAAGTTGCTGGATATTGGCAGGAACTGGAACACGCTGTCGTATACGCTGAAACCGGGATTCATCCGTGAAGAGAACACCTCTCCAAAGTACCAGACGCCATCGAATGTGAGCATTTGCCACTCAAGTTGGTTACGACGACGAACTGCAGTCAGGTCGAGAACCCGATGAGGACGACGAGCATGCAGATGAGCTTCCCTGAGACGGTTTCTGACAGTTTGTGCAGAAATTCTTTGGTTATGCAAACCGATTGTTGCAGCAGCTGTCCGGGTGGCTGGTCTCAGACGATCTTGGAGGTGAAGATGCTGGATGTGGAGGTCCTGGGCTGGTGTGGTTACACGTGGTCTGCGGTTGTGAGGCCGGTTGGATGTACTGCCAAATTCTCTGAAACGCCTTTGGAGACGGCTTATGGTAGAGAAATTAACATTCAATTCACGGGCAACAGCTCTGGTGGACATTCCTGCAGTCAGCATGCCAATTGCACGCTCCCTCAAAACTTGCGACATCTGTGGCATTGTGCTTTGTGATAAAACTGCACATTTTAGAGTGGCCTTTTATTGTGGCCAGCCTAAGGCACACCTGTGCAATAATCATGCTGTCTAATCAGCATCTTGATATGCCACACCTGTGAGGTGGATGGATTATCTCGGCAAAGGAGAAGTGCTCACTAATAAAGATTTAGACAGATTTGTGGACAATATTTGAGAGAAATAGGCCTTTTGTGTACATAGAAAAAGTCTTCAAAAACAAAATTTGCGTTTATAATTTTGTTCAGTGTAATTTGGGATGTGACTAAAAATTCTAATTTTTTATCATTTGTTTATGTTTGATGGCATTTTAATGCATTGTCACTACTGTTCCTCAGTCTCTTTTATTAACTTCAGTAACAATCAGTACTGCTGCTGGATGTTTTTATAGCCTACCACTCGCATTATAACCTTTGACTCTGCTGTGCATGAAAAGCCTTGCAGGACCGCGGTTTCTGACATGCATCCACCAACGCTTATAACATCCACCATTATGCTTTTTCAAAGTCATTTAAATCTTTTGTCTTTTTCAACCTTCCTTGAATTTCAAACATGCAATTCTCAGTTATTTAATTTCCTGATGTAAATAATATCGTCTCTGTACACCTATACTGACAATTTAATCTATTCCACAGTCTGTTTTGTTAGTTTCATCTAATTGCAACTATTCAGCACACGATAAGACCAAATGCTGCTGCTTTTCACCATGCTGATTTGCTCAGTATCAGGATACATTCTGTAAACTCAAATGTTACATCTGAGATTAAGCATTAAATTAGGTTTTATGTCCTCTGGAAAATGCATGCAAATTTATCTAGCAAGGCCATGTGACTTTTGAAGCATATGAATACATTTGAATATTTCACAGAGGAGCAAAATGTCACAGATGAAACAATCCAATCACATTCCTATAGCCTGAGGTGTCGTTTCTGTCTTGGCTTAATGATGAAATGTTATCTGAGCTGGATGAGCTCCTGTGAATGTCGCTTGACGCTGAATAAATATTGTAAACTACCTGTTAGGTATTCAGTTGAAATTATGCAGCTCTTTCAACCTCAGCCTTTGTGGAAAAACCAGTTACAGCCCATTCAAGATGATATATGTTCTCCTATATATATATAATATTTAGATCATTAATACAGTAGAACACCATTTAAAATTTTGCTACTTGAATTTTTTAATTATACCACGGGTATTGTTGAATACTTGATTCTGATTGGTTGACTAACATTCTAAAATGTGCAATTATTTTTCAATAAATGCACAGCTGTGAAGCTGTGTTATAGGTCTGTCAACCTCATTACAGTTCCATACCAATTTGTCAATTTATTTCAGTTATTTCAAAGTCTTTACAAGTTGTTATGAACCAAAACCCACAATGACACTGACCAAACAAAGAAATATGAAAAACTAAAAAGGTACATGTAATTTCTTACTAGCAAGGCGGTAATTTGGCTATTTTTGAAACAGTTAAACTGACAGTTTCTCTAGTCAAGATGCTGCTGCCGAACACTGTTGAGAGACGTGTTTTAAGGAAACCATTGAATTATTGAAAAATAATCCACGCCCGAGGTGTAACGGTCACTTCGTGGGTGTGCTTTATTTTTCAATAATTCAATGGCCCTTTGGGTCTTTAAAGGTAGTTCAGACTGCGGAATGTCATATCAGCATAATTTTGATGTACAAATACACTTCAACACCTCTGATTCAGTCTTTTTAGGTGCATAATGAGCAAGAATGGAGCCTGTAGGAAATCACAACGGCATATGCAGCCTTACAGTGGGTCTCTACTAGAGACCTGCAGAGTTTAGCTTTTTGTCACATTGACGCCATCTTTATCTGTGAGCCATGCCATCTGTCAGAAACCCCAGAAGACCTCTTTCTGAGCACACCATGTGTCTCCACATAAAAGGGTGGCTTAAGCAAACAGTACTGTGCAGCACCATACCTCACTCACTTGAAGATTCATTATTCTATGAGATTACCCTAAAGGCATTTCCAGATGTGG